CTCCGTTTGTGAACACTCTAATACAGAGCACTCAATGCCTTCTTCTCAGTTTGCATTATGTTTTGATTAACACCAAAAGTATGTTCTCTTATATGGGTTTTCACTCAGAAAACGACTCTGTTAATTGGCAGGAGATTAAAAGGTAACTCATTAGTATGAAATCTGACAATTCAATCATTTCCCTGCAACCTGCGATGCCCGCATTGAAGGGAGAGACACACGAACGTTCACCATGATCAGTTTTATTGCTTGAGAACCAGAGTACTCATTTCTAAAGGCCTTCAAAGTTACCATGAGTTGAGTTTGCTTAAATAGAATTACAGTGTGGTTATAATGCAACATGGCACAGTAACAATACAGAGCTGCAGGCACCCTTTGGGCAGCAGTACTCAGTAGGAACAGTACGGATTGAACTGTTGAGAAAACATTCTGCAAGCAGACACCAAATCATTTCAATGGTAGTGATTTATACCAAAATCCAGCATAAATCTAATGCCATCACGCAGTCCATGAACTCTGTAGTGTTCTAAATTAAATCAATAAAACATACATTTGTGTTTCATCAACAGACTCCCTAATCACCTTTTAATGTTGTATTTAGTGGTGGGAGAAAAATGTTACTAACAGGATGATACCGACAGCTGCACTGAGCTACCAAGCAGGGCAAGTTACGGTCCTTTTTCCTTCCTTTAGCACTGCATGTGTACAGTCAGCATCCACTAGAGTTGCTACCTGAAGCAGACCACTGCTTTCTCCTCCCGTATTGTTGTTGTTTTAATACAGAATACTTGGCACCATAAAACAGTAACAAAGGACAGACAAAAACAGTTTACAAAATTCTGGAAAGTTACACCCAAACCTAGCTAAGAACTTCACATTCAATCCTTAATAGTACATAGAAAGAAGGGATTATAGGAGCAACAAAGTGAAACTGCTAATATATGTACTATAGAGTATGCTATATATCTGTATCGAGGATGGCACTGCTATATATTATTTATCATATAATGTTGGTTGTTGATGTACACTAACTAAACCTGCTACGGCTCCAACACTACTGCTGATATGGCACTCTCAAGCATTCATATCCGAAAGTATATTTAGCATAAGTTTTGGTCAGGTTTATAAATTATTTATATATCTGTGTATATATACACATACATACATATATATACACACACATATGTATGTATAGAAAGCAGCTGCTGTGTGATTCAAAAACCATGAAACATGGCAGTATAGTAAATAACTTGAGAAAAGAATTATAAAAATGAAAAACAAAACACTAAAACTAAAACACAAACCATAAGCCTTGGTCGACAAAGAAAATACCATTTAAAACCATCGATATCTCCATCTATACAATCCAATGTACAAAACCCCAAAGTGGTAAAGATAATATAATGTCAGGCATGACACCTTTAAAAGTTTATAATATGTTGAAATAACTTTTCCACATCATTGACAAACACATTAAAAGTTGAAGGTTGTGAAGTCTAAAATACATAACATCTCTGCTGTCTATTTAGAGTTTTGGCAACAGAATCGTGACATATATATATAAAAAATAATTCCACGTTTCTACTTGATGTCACATGAACATACAAGACAGTGAGGTATGTGAGGCTTTTCTCGAACAGAGTCCAGATGCTGAAGCATAGTGTACGATCAGCAGTCTAAGAATGTGGCACTCAGGACGTATCGATACGGCTGTTACGATTATGTATTTCTGGATGCTGCCATTCCTCCCCTCCTCGCTACAGTGTTGTTTCATGGAAAATCTTCTCGTTCCGAAGGCATCTTTTTCCTGTTGCAGAATTGGCATTTTTTAAAAAAAGAAAAATAAACACAGGGGCAATGATGTAGAAAATATAAACGTAAAGGAAAAAAAATGATATTTACCACCACATCACTGCACGACACAACACTTGTGCACATTTGCAATAGGTTTACCTGCCCCAGCAGCTATTCGAAAGGACAGGAACACAGGCTGCAGCAAGTCAGGAGAAACAGGAGTTACACATTGGAAATCTTTCTTTTTCAAACAGTAATAAACACACAAGAACAACCCTACGACTGGAAACAAAGCAGTGCAACGATTTCTTGGATTAACTGAACGACAAAAAGCACGAGAGCTATTGCAGCTCTCTGCTCCCACTGAAATCCAAGGGACCATTTCAGACTGATTCCTGCAGGTAGAGCTTCCCATGCACCTCCCATCTATCACAGAATCGGCTCAGCTGAGTGTACCACGCTGAACGAAAATCCATGTTCAATGCATCAGTGACAGAAGAAACAAATACGATCATTTCTGCAGTGCCTGTCAGCCACTGACACACCAAACTTTTAATGTGCCGCAGAAGCAGTAAACCTCTGCATCTTACATTGGGATCACACGTTCCCTAAGTGTGCTCTTAGGAAAAAAGTGCTCTGTCTCAGAAGAACACTGAGCACGGCAGCAAACAGAAGTACAGTTATCAATTTGGATTTATCCGTACATATGCATACACGCATGTATTTAGCCAGTGCCCATCACAGCATGACCATTCAGGAGCTTTAACACCACCTCTAGGATACCATCACTGTTGCACAGCTGTGAGCTGAGCAAGTTCCAAGCTGGCTTTTTCTGAAGGTACTCAATCACGAAATTCTGCAGCTGCCATCAGAAGTCCCCTCCCACTCCCTGACCTGGCACTTCAAGGAGGGCAAACACTCCATTTTTCTGCATTTCTGCCTCAGCTTTTCCTCTGATTTCCTCAGCAGAGCTGTCTGTAAAATCTCTTTCTTTTTCTTCACTGAAACAACTGCTACTCATTATAGAATTCAGTGTTCTTTTTCTTGCATGTTGCTTAAATATGGATCTGCCAATATGCTACTTTATGGATAACTGGCTGGGTTCCACATTAAATTAAATGATGTTTCGGAAGCGTTTTTGATAACCCAAAGAAAAAGATTATGTTTTACATGGATAGCTGTAAGCGTGCACACATTGGTTCCTTACTCATTTTGTATAGTATCATATTTTCTTTCCTGCATACACCATCCTCCCCCTTGTTTGGTTTCATACAAGTATCTGCTTCATTTCCTGATTTTGGCTGAATTCAACTTTAAAATAATTCCACAGCTTCCAATTCAAATTACAAAGTTGAGGAATTACTGACTTACATGTAAAATTAAAAGAAACTACTGCACACATTCCCCTCCCTAATAAAAAAAGAAAACAGAACAACAACAAGTTTCGTTTATTTACCTTGTGATCCCCCATGCAGACGTTTGGCCCAATGTGGTCATATACTACAATCTTCTCATCATTTTCTGACTAGTTTAAAAAACAAACAAACAAACAAACAACAACAAAACCACCAATAAGAATAAAGAAGAGCCGTCAGTTCAGCTATCCTCCAGTTTATAGAAACAGAAATATGGGAATGGGGTACTACAAATAATTCAGAATGGCGTCTGAATGAGGAAGCTTTATGGAATCACACGATTAGGGGACAGAGTCACAGAACAGGTGATGTTCATACAGGAACACATCTTTTCTCGGCTTTTCCAGAGAAAGCCTGTGCAGAAAGCATCTTTATGTTCAGTACAGACTGCAGCTATTTGTACACATCAATTAACTCATGAAATCACAGTGCCCACTCCTTGCTTCTGGGACCTTAAGAAATGTTAGAGACTAACATTTGGTAGATTCACTTCATCTTTCCTTAGGTTTGCATTCAACGCTTGTGCCTACGGAACGCAGCCCAGTTCCTTTTAGGAGCACAGCACACAACTGCATACAGTTCTATCTGTTGCTCTTTGAATTCCATGCAATCCACGTTGCCTCACAGGATGAGTTTATTTCCTCACACAGTTGATTTTAAATGTTCAGAGATACAAAGTATTTACACTTTAGGAATACAGTCTTCTATCAGTTCCATGATATACATTCCTTCCTTTGAAAAAAGCATTAAGTGATTTTGGGAAAATCAGCAGGAAATGAAATATGACATTCCTCCAATCTGCATTATGAATTGCTTTCATTTTGTTCTGTGCTGAATCCTTACAAACTCACACACTGACTTCTTTAGCATTTGCACTTTCACGGGTAATAAAATGCATTCACCTTTCAGCTATTCGCAAAACAATATAATTTGCAGAATGTTTTGCTTCTCCAGCACAGTACTTCAGGAATAAACACAAACACATTGCCATAGAAGGTAATTTCTTATTATGCTAAACATTTTCTACCAGCTAATTTAGTCTGCAATCTGCACACTCTGAAGTCTCTCATACAATCACAGATGATGTTCTTTAAACTAGCTGGCAATACTAATTTATTTAGTATGAAACAGCCAAGACTTTCTCATCTGTAATCAGTCGGGTCTGACTGGGCAGTAACATTCTATAAACACCAGCATTTTGGACTATAAAGTTAAAACTGAATTATCTTGAATGCAGTAAGGAAGCTTAAGGTCAGATTTACTTTATAGCACGGTTGTCTGCCAAAAATATAAAAACATAACCTTCTGCATTGTATGCATGAGCCCTTTCCAATATTTCAAGATCATAATGCCACCAGCATCGGAAGTGGGGATACATTCATCAAAAGCGACTTGATAATTTACAAAGGCAGCATAAAATTGTGGATTTTCAACTGCATAATCTTTGGACAGATAAACAAATTACAGCGGTGCACAAGCAGAAACAATATACACTTGGCTGAGCATTCATTACTTCATGCTATCAGGCGTCAACGCAGCTCCCTAGCAGTGGGCAACCTTTGGTGTTTTAGGGCTCAGGAGGCATAAAATAACATGATGGTGAGGTAACCGACCATAGCATGATAGATGATGTTGCATGAAAGCTGTTCACAGCCCCATGTCTGTACAATCTGTAATGCCTACTGTGTAGCAGAGCCCACTGTACAGCGTGGCAATTTGTGCATACTGTTCTTTCTTTACATAGGGTTAAAAGGCAGCTTTACAATTTCTGTTTCAAATAAAATACAGATCTGCCAAAGCAGAAAAACAAACTCTTTATTTGCCTATAAGAATTAATACAGCAAAACAGTTACCCTCGTAAGAATTTCCAATAGCTAATTGGAACACACCAAAAATATATAAAAATTGATATACATTTAAATTTTAGGATTTATTATACTGTAATTAGTTAATTAAAACTTGCTTTTTGTTTCTTAAGCTCCTTCCTAAGCTTCAAAGCGTAAGGTTCTGCAGTGAAGTACATTCTCAGTGGCAAAGCAAATACTGATGGCTGCACAAAACCACAGAAATGAGTACTGCCATTTCGCTCTTTCCTCTATTGGTTCTTTTCCATTTAATATATTCAATAAATTTTATGAGCCACAATTACAGTTTATTTTTGAGCCAGATAAGCTAACTCTTTCCTTGGTATCAGCTCACAGAGTTACACACCCATGCCAGTCTGGCTTCCTTCATACTTGTAGTTTTGCACACACGTTTCTGGAAATGCCCCAGACTGCACGCTCCTGATTTGAAAGTACAAAACTGCAGTGAAAAAACAGCGTGCAGCTTTAAAACGTAAGCCCTGAATGATCCAGCTGACTGCATTTCTGTTCCACTGAGACCAAAAACTGGCTAACTGACCTCACAGCTACTAACTTCTTTAATGCTCTACCTTTGTTTTCTTTTGTTTAATTTTCTCCCATTATATCCAAGTTATACCCCCCAGATAATCTGAAAGAATTCCTTTCCCTCTGTACTGTTTACACTCTTCAAGCCTTTGTGTACACTTCTATCTCCTTATTCATAGTTTAAAAAAAAAATCTTGCCCCATTGGCCACTCTTTCCATGGTTTTAATCCTTTGTTCTTGAGGAATTCCAGGGGCGCCAGGCGCTATCTTTAATATTTTGGGTAGAGCCTCAATTTTGCCTATTCTAGTTCCGTAGAAGAAGATCAAATGACATTGATTCTGACATTACTGTTCTTATTACAAAGCCTATATTCCTCCAGGCTTTATAATGTTTTTTCATTATGTTCCGTAATACACACATTGTCTAAAATTTTAGGTGAAACTTCAAGATATCATGCGGACACATACATTAATGTGTGAGGAAGTATGCTGGACTGAAATGTGAGTAGCTACATAAAAATGTTCTCAGCCTTTCAGTGAGTTATATACTGCAAAGCAAACAGTCTAATCATGAGGTAAATAGCCCTGATGGGAGAGAGAACAGGAAGGTTATAAACTTCAGGGAACCAAGTTTCGAGGGTTTCATTACTTTAAATGGAAGAAAAAATGATTTAAATGCAAAGATTACTTCCTGTTAAACTGTACTGGTTATAGAGAAAAATACAGATAGACAGATGACTTTGGGCAATTCAGCATTTGTAAGACTGTTATGCACACGACAGTCAGACAATCTGGTCAGCAAAACAACCTCTGTGCAGCAGGGCTGAGAAGTCACAGCACAGTCCTTTCTGCACGGCAGTTATGGCCACTGCTCGCACAGCAGGAGGGATCTCACACAGAGCAGAAAGCCGTGGCTGACATCTCCTCCTGCACTGATTTCCTGATGGTCTGGGGTCTTTTAGGAACTGACAGCATAACAGAACAGATCTTCATGTTCTTGCCATGACCAAGCACACAGGAAAAAACAGAAGCAGCGCATGTTGGCACATGTAACTAGCTCAGCTGGTTCAGTGCCTCTATGGAAAACAGGAGAGCAGAGCAAAGTAAAGGAAAGAGACAAAACAAGAGAACTGGAAGGCTCCTGAACTACAGTTAGGTCATTTAACCTTGAATAGAGCATCACTAAGCTTATCTGACCTCTAGGCACTGAAATCTTAAGAGGATATTCTAAAAATGCTGCAAAATAATATTTCTAAAACTCTAAGAGAATGTCTAAATTTACACCAACTTAATTGGTGTAATTGAGAGGTAGGAGTCTGTCTGCTGTAGGCTGTCTTCCTTCAGCGGACAGTGACAGAAGATTTGACCCACATAGGGCCTGACACATTCTTGAGAAATGCAGTTCTCATTAACAACAACAGAGGGAATCTATATCTACTACGCTTTAACTCAGGAGCTCCAACTGTTCCTTCACAGACTCTCCTTCAATAACATTCTTCCTCAGTGGGAGCCACTCCTGGCTGCTTCTGTCTGCCTCTGTGCTGAGTCCTTATTACGACAGTCCTGCTATTACCTTATTCCCTGTTACTGGACAGGGGGCTCGACAGGGAGACTGACGGAGGTTATTGATTCATTTCTATTCTTTTTTAAACCAGGCATGGTTCACCAGTGCGGCTCAGAAATGCCACAGTAGGGTGCTGACAAACGCAGCCCTGACAAGCTCTGAAGCGTTATAGGAGAGCAGATTGTCAGTCAGCACTGGAACTCAGGCACCAAATGAAGCATTGTGAAAGCTTGTGCTTTGGTAACTGTCCAAGCTAACTGTCCAATCCAGATTCTCCAGTGGGAAGCACTAGAGTTTAATATTGCTGTATATGCTGCCACCAGCTTAGTAAGGGTTTGCTCTGGTCAACTGAAAATTCAGGGCCAAGCAGAAAGGTATCAGCCATACCTAACCTTGTTGAAGGAAAACGCAACATGGGGGAAGCAGTAAGGCTGCAGATCCATACTTACTTTCAGAATGAGCTCCTTGGCTGAGTGGGACATCAGGATCCTGTCACACCAGGCTGGACATCGTGTATTCATGTACTGCTTTCCCTGGCTGGAGTCCTCGCTGTACGGGTAACTGCAAACACATTGCCATCACAACAGTCAGCGGCTTCCTGCAAACGTCCTGAAACCTCAGGCTCAAACAACAACACTAATTATGAAAATTAATTGGCAAAAAGCAGCTCCTTTGAACATCTCATACAAAGAAGTTATGTCATTGGTTCACCATGAATGTATGATGGGGGCTCCAGCAGGTTCTGTCTTAGCTTTCAAACGCAAAGAAGTGTTTATTTTGACCTAAAGAACACCCTGAAAATTAACTCTGTTTATCTCCAGAGTACACGCTGGGGAGAGCCTAGGCTGAAATCACTGAAAGCAATGGTACAGGCAGCCTCTGGTTCAACTGTCAGGAGGCTGAGTCCAAAGCTTTCTTTGTGAGTGGATCGTATCCAAGCGTTCTCACTACTTTAATACGATAGACCTTTGAATTTGATGCTCAGTGGTTATGTTGTAAGGACCACTGTTTTCCCAGACCATTTCCAGAATGGCATGGGTACGTAGCCAAAGGGGCTTGGGTGAAGTCCAAAGGGGCTGTGAAAGGCTCAATTTCTTGCATATTGGACCCGAATTAGCTGAATTCCAAATAAATGTATTTAAACAAAAATATTAAGCTGGAGCATATTACCTACAGATATATGTGTGCGTGTATTTAAAATAAAGATATCCGTATTTTATCCTGCTTGTGGTTGAATTCATAATGGAAATACTGAGGTTTTCAAGACACGTGTTGAAATAAAATTTCTGGGATGTAACCAGAGGGCTTGCATGCTTGAAGGGAAACTTATTTACCACCCTACTTGCAGTGATGCTCTGAAACTGAGACATTTTGCTTTCTACCAAATAAGTTTACAAGCTACACTGCCATTAAAAAGATTAGCCATGGCAAACATCCAAGAAAAGCGTACTGAATGTACTGGAACAAACCAGTGATCTCAGTACCTTTTCCACCTCATCAAACCTAACAAGACTCATTTTCAAAACGTATTATGAGAATTCAATTTGCTGCTTCACTGACATACAGAAGTACAGCTTATTTCTGAGTGTCTGTAAAATATTTTGATGATGTAATACTGTTGGTAGCAGAAGCTCTTTGTCTGCAATTTAAGGGTTCACTTTTTCTGGTAACCCTTTTTTAGTTACTCAAGAATCTTATACAACTGAAGCTACTTTTTATGATAGAAGGCTTAAGAATCAATCACGTTTCACACAATCCTTCCTTTTACAGCACTAACTTTTAAACAGCTTTTAAAATAGGATGCTCCGTCCTTGGAACGATCTGTTACTGCTATGTTAGAGTGCTTCATTCAAGAGCCTAAATTCTGCAAAACGGTGCTTATCAATTTGCTTTATTCATCTGAATATTTTCACAGGGTGAAAACTTCTGCTAATTTTTCAAGGTCTCTAGTGCTGATCACCCACTCAAGGAGCTATGGACATTTACAAATATATCTGACCCATCAGCATTCAAATGGCTAGGGCAGAAATGAAGATAAATGGTGCAAAAGCTATCCAGACAAAATCATCTGTAGGTAATAATTTCATATGCTAAAATGAGGCAAGATCTTTTTATAAGCCAGCATCTGTCCCTCAGGCTAGAAGTGTGACAGTATTCTATCTTGACAAACTCCAGTGACAAAGGCTTCTCTCTCCACACTGCCTTATCTTTGTCTTGTGCCAGTCTTACTCCTGCGAAATGCTGACATAGCCATAACAAAAAAAAAGTTATCTAAATTCACCCCTAAGAAGTGAGGAAAATTCCTTGCTCTCCCCCTTCGTGCTCTAGGTGGGTCACGTATGCTTTGGAATAAGCAGATTCTTTTTGTAGATTGGCTCAAAAAGTGACCTAAATGTGATTCTTGAAATTGCCAGGAGCGATTGTTCTCACAGCTTGGCAGGTTTTGTGGACAGGGCAGCCTAGTTCATTATATGTACTTAGATAGCTTTTTTTTTTTTTTTTTTGCAATTAAACACTCCATCGGAAGTTTCTGGAATAAGACTGCCATTGAATAAATATTAATGAAACACATCACTGAACGTACAGTATTCCAGAATACAACTTTTCAAGTAACATACATTCCAGTACATGCCTCTGTCATCCCATTCCATGGTTAAATGAACAGTGGGATTAGAACACTGCAAGTGCTTCCTGACTGCTTCCTGAATTCAGTCTTTTTCTTGGGAGCTCTGAAGCTTTTCACTTGGTTGGAGCACTTATAAGGGTATTCTTTTCTATGGATACTGTGCCATCTTACATCATTTTAGCTTTCTCCCTAGCTGATGTGATTTAAAACCAGTCAATAAAAGCAATCAAAGGAGGAGACAGACAGATGCACAAGCATCTCAGGGAACTCAGCTAATGATTCTGTGCTGCCCTAATAGAAAGATATTGCAAAATACAAAGATACAAAAGAAACCGAACTACCCAAAACCTCAAAGCTGCCACACACAACAGCACTGATTTTCTGTCTTGTACACATCTGTGACAAGAATGCAGCCCTTGGGTATGCTCCTGGCACCTCCTGCAAAAACAAGTCTTCTCAGGTTGGCAGGCTTGAGCCCACAACCACGAAGGCTGCAGACTGAACAACTCAACAATGGATAACTAACAAAGATGAATGCGTTTCAGAAAAAGCAGGATATAAATCACAGCACTCACACTGCTTCATCTAATACAGCAACTGCCCAGTAAATACCGATTCAGGATGGCACTCAAAAAGCTGGAAAACATTTCTAATGACTTCAATGGGCTGACTATGCTAATACAGTTCCGTTTGATTATTAACTTTTTGTTTTCTCTAGGGTGCCTTCACAATTCATCTCCTCTCGTCCTGTTTTTCAGCCCCATTTTCTTACCTGCTGCTTTAAAATAAAGCGTAAATAGTTACAAGTAAATTTATGCAAGAACTAATCTTTTAATACACAACTTCCAAAAGATATTCAGCGTAGGATTGTCTACTACCAAGTACATTCTTATAGCTTTGCTTTCTTTGATATCTTCAGCTCCTTTTAACACAACCATTCCAGGCTGGTAAGGAGGTCACAATTCTTGGTTAAAAACTCATTTAATAATTAAGCAGATTTTCTGATCTATGAATTGTATAAAGAATAACATAGATTTGATAGAAATAATTTTAAGGACTCTACATCAAATAACCAAAAATTGAGAGCATCTTGCCAGGATTGAATGTTATCAGTCTTGACCATTAAAGTTCTGGCTGTGGTGGAGAAAAGGAAGAACCAACTCATTTGGCCCCATGGCTGTATGAAGAAATTCCTTTTTTTTTTTTCTTTTTCCCTTTCTCTAGCCTTCTGCCTCAATCATTATCTATCTTGTGCTATATTAAAAACAAACAAACAAACAAACAAAAAAACAACAACAACAGTGATTTCGGTAATAGCAATTGTTCATGTAAAAATGATGGCATAACAGAAAAAGGCCTCCTGGGTATCACTGAAGCACAAATGATAATTAGATACAATGCTAACACTTGTGTGTTATATATGAGTGGGCACACTTCCTCACCTGAGCATTCAATATAGTCACTTGGTGGTTTTGCACACAGCATATTCTATACACAAACAGACATAAGGGGAATCCCGTACGGAGTAACTTTTCTGCCCTGTTTCAAACAGCAGCAAAGTTGAAATTTACAATGTTGACCACTCACATCAGTTGAATAGTTATTAATTAATTAGTTGTTCTCTATATAAGCCAGCCAGCAGAGCTACACAGTGTCTGTATATGTTCAGGATAACAGGTAGACAGGCAGTTCTGGAGCTGGACCATCCATGCACGTGGCTTGGATAATCTGTCTCCAATCCTCAAGATATTCCTTCTGGCCACTTTTCCACCTTATTTCACAAACATTTATACATTTATGCACTAATTAAAGCAGCATCATTAATATAATCCTGAACGTTGTCAAAATCTAACGGTACACTTCAAGGATTTGCAAACTAACTTTGTTGATTAGGAACAGGGTGTCAAACGAGCTACTGACATTACACTTAATAAGGATGAGAGCTACTTGGCACCTGTTGGTGAAAATAAAACATGAAGAGTGTCAGTAATATTCCTTCACTATTGCTGTTGACAGGTACTGTCAAAGATGATTGGACACCTTTACAAAAACACTTACTGCAGGGTGAAAAGTCTTCTGACATCATAAACCATCCTGTCAACAGTGCCTTACCTCAGAACACAAGCCAACAATACAATATATATAAACGTCTCCTTAACTGGCATTTCCAGTCGGGAAAAATGCTCCTAGTGAACTCTTCTCTCGTTCAAGAAAGGATAAAATGTGTTACTGAGATGAGCAAAGAGTCTTTTCGAACAGGAAACAATTAACTCACTTTGGAGCATTATCACCTATAAAGCTGCCTGTCACAAACAGCTCTGCTTTCAGTTCAGTTTTGCTCACAGCCGACACCACAAGCGTGCCCTGCTGCTGACAGTGCATTTTGGTGCTGCTTTAGAGGCACCGTCTTCTATGGAAAAGACATTTTTGGTAGCGCTGTAGAAAGTGTGATACCATCCACCAGGAAGCAATGAGGAAAAAGCACACTGTGTTGCATTTTCTTTTAATATAACAAAGGTCATCCTGAGAAATATGCATTCTATGTCAAGATTTATGTGCAGACATCTAGCCAAATTTTATCACGTTTCAGGGAGTGGAGAACAGTTCCTGCTTAAGGACCAACTGTCCTCTGAATTGTCTTTAATACAAAACGTTTCAGATGGGATGGAATCATGAAGTGTTAATGAGAATGGAGCTCTTTATGAGAACAGCTGAGATACAGTTTTAATTCGGTCCAGTTTATTTTGGAATTCAGAGATGAGTCCTTGCATTTGCTCAATCTACTCTCAACTTTCTGTTGAGATATTGAGCGAACTCCAAAAGATGAAAAATAACAAACACTTTTCGTCAGGAAACAGTTTATTACTTTATTTACCTTTAGCTCTGCTCTACTTTCAGTTGTCTGAGCTGATTTTACAAGGAATGAGGACTGTGT